GTGTGTGTGTGTGTGGCACATCTCAGTGCATCCCTACACACTGCCTCCTTATTCTCCTTCCGTTCTTTCTTACATCAAGTTGAGCACTGCGGTGTCTCTGTTGCGTGCATGCACCCTTCCCCATCTCTCTCTCTCTCCCTCTCCCTCTCTCTTCATGGGTCGATGCGTGTGTTCTTTTTGGCGCCTTCTCTTGCCATGAGTAACGGGGGGGAAGCCACACTTCCTTTTACGTTCACGCCGTGCGCGCGTGGTCAGACGACCTCTTGCTTGCAGACTGGGCACGTCTTGTTGGACCCGAACCACTGCTCGATGCACTTGAAGTGGAAGCGGTGGTGGCACTTCTTGAGCTCGACGGCCTTGTCGCCCTCTTCCTGTCGCTCCTGCAAGTCACCCTGGCACACCACGCAGCTGCCCTCCTTCGGATTCGGCACATCGGTCATGCACTGCCGGATCTGCTCCTGGGTGATGCCCTTGCTGACGTAGCCGATACGCTCCTGCAGCTCCAGCAGCTGCTCATACGACATGTCATCAATGTCCTGCGTCATGCCGAGCGAGCGCTGTGCCATCACCTCGCCAAGTACATTGGCGAGCTCGAAGACTTCATACCCGCGCACCAACAGTCCTTGTAGCAGGGGCTCACGCGGCAGCTGAGGATTACGCAGGAGCCGCAAGAGGAGATCAGAGCTGAGACGCGGCAGCGCCTCCACCACCTCTTCGTCATCGTCATTGTCGTCGTCGTCGTCGTCCCCCGCGGCAACGCGGGGGAAGGCCCGCAAGTCTACACCACCGACGGAGGGCCTTGCCGGCTGCGAGGCCGGCACCGCCTGCGAGCGCAACGACAGGAAGAAGCGCTGAAAGCCCTCCACCTGCTGCCCGCGAACGATGTCGTTTATCACCTCCATGCGGGACCTGGGCGACATGCTGCGCAGCGACGCCTTAAAATCATCGTCGAGGTCGAGTTCTCTGAGCAGATTCTCCAGCGATGGGTCGAGTAGCGGCGGCTCAGCGGTGGAGGCCGGCGGCGTCGCGGTGCTGGGGCTGCGCTCGGTCGGCTCACTACGCGCCCGCTTGGGGCCGTTGCCACCGTCCATCAGCACACACCGTAAGCGAAAACAAAAAAAAAAAGCTGAGTGGCCGCGAATGACAAATGGAGAGAAGTGGAGCGACAGTCACGCGGGCACGCATGTGCGGGTATGGGAATGACAAGCCAAGCATACGAAGAGGGAAACAACAACAACAAAAAATGAACAAAAAAACAAAACGCGTGAGACACACACAGAGCGATGGGGTTTGGGGTGTGGTGTGGGCGACGGGAAGAACGGCAACACACATACACACAGAAAAAAAAAGATCGCCTGTCCATATTTCATGCCGACTTCTCCGCGTTGGGGCTCGCACCCCGCACCTCCATCTGCTTCTTCTGCAGCGCCTTCTCGCGCCGCTCCTTGAATGTGTCGATGATCGTGAAGTAGTCCGTGTCTGTCTCCGGCACCACATCCTCCTTCAGCTGGCGGTGCTGCAGGCCGCCAAACTGGCTCTCCCACTGGTCGGGGAGCCGCTGCTGCACACGCTTCGCGTACAGCATCAGGAAGACGGGGAAAACAATGCACACCATCATCTTTGCTAGCTCAAAGCCCTGCACCACGTTAAAGCCAATGCGCGTGGAGGGACGCAGGAAGTCGACGAGTCGCTGCGAACGTGACTTGACAAACGGCTTCTCGCGAATCACGACGCGGGTGTTGAGCCCCTTCCGGGTGTGTGTGCTAGAGTCATACTGGTTGACGCGAGCGGGGTCTGTATAGTCTGGCATCGCACAGGCCCCAGCTCTCACTCTCACTCCCTCCCCCTGCTTATATCGCCTTGTTGCTATTCTATTGTATGTTTCCCTACTCACTCGTGCAGAGTGCTGTTAGCTTCGATACTACTCTTCCCTCGTGGCTGCCACGAGGCACAGCCAGCGGCAAGCAAACGAAAAAAAAAGGAGAAAATTAGAACTGCGGAAGACGAAACGTGAAGAAAACGTTCCAGAGGGAGTTCAGAGTGCACACAGCCAACACGACGCACGCACTTCCCCCTCCCCCTCTTCTGTTGTAATCTCTCTCTCTCTCTCTCCCGGTACTTACTGTATTGATGGCACTCACCGCCCGCATCTTTCTATGGGACCACCGCAGACTTCACACGGCTTCAAAGAACCGCCACACAACTCGCCCTCTACCAGTTGCACAGCTGACGGAACTCGGCCTGCAGGCGGCGCTCCTCAACCATCGCCGCCGCGTTTGCGTGTCGTGCGGTTCGCTTTTGGATCGCCTCTATCTTCCGCTGTGCCTCCGCACGCGACCGCTCACGTGAGCTGGCGCACCGCGCCTGAATCGCCTCCTCCTCCTTCCGTGTGGCGTCATCGTGCTGCAGCCGCCGGTCAATGGCCTTGAGGTTGTCCGCGTCGAGCACCTGGAACTGCGGGCGCAGCAGCGCCGGCATGCGTGGGGCGACGCAAACCTGCGCGAAGGCCGGCTCGCCCTGTGCCCGCTTGTGTGAACCGGCGCTCATTCTCGCTGTGTGTCCTCCTTTGGTGCCGTCTCGCAGGCGGCGGCGCGCCACACAGGAAGGAACAAGACAGAGGGAGGACGAAAAATGGAGCATCAAAGAAAAGAAAAAGCGGCAAGCGGCAAGAAAGCCAAATGAGAGCAGCACGCACATCTCGGCACGGGTAACGGCAGAAGAGTCTCAAGAGTAAGAAAGAACTGGAAAATGTCACGCAAGAGAAAAAAACAGCACGTCCACGACGAGACCACGTAGCTGCCAATCTATGGAGGGCACCGCCATTTCTCAGCCTCAGCATCACGAAGAGGTTTGGCAATGGTGCAGCACAATGACGCTTACCTCCAGCTCACCAGCCGGCTCCGTCACGAGGCCATGCTTGACAGAAATACCGCCGGCGCCACGAGGTCCCACATCACGTGTATCGACGAGCGAGGGCGCGCCGCCCGCCAGCGCTGAGCGCAGGAACTCTCGCCCCGTCATCCGCGGCCTCCACAACGGCCCTCGCAGCGAGTGGCGGCCCGGCAACATGTGCGGAACCTCCAGTGCGGTGTAGCCAACAGGTGCCTGCTGGCCCTCCGGCGAATCGCTGTACACTGTCACAATGAGTCGCAGCGGTGGCGCGTTGACGGCATCATCAAAGTGAAGCTCAAAGGGAGCATTAAAAGTGTGCACTGGAAGCGGGATGAAATTCTCGAGGATAATACTACCAGCAAACGCGAGCTGGGTGGTTAAGCCACCAATAGCTTCCTCTTCATTCTTATCTTGTTCTCCCTCTTCCTTCCCTGCCTCCTCTTCGCCCTGCGGGACGCTGCGGTACCACTCGCAGCGGAGGCAAAGTGCATCCTCTGCCACACCCAAACACCTGTCAACTGTGCCGAGCACATGATACCGCACCCGGCCTTCGGGTGGCGGCTGCTCGAAGGGGCTGCTTCCCACTGCTGCTGTTGTGTCTGGCGCAGTTTTCACCCCCTCACTGCCAATGACGATGGCCTGCCGAAGGAGCATCCGCTGCAGCGCATCCCGCCGAGCCGCGTGCGGCGCGCTCAGGCGGTCCTTCACAGACGCCGCCAGCTTACTGATCTTTCGGAGGAGATCGCCTGGTGACGGTTGCGCAGAATCCATTTCCTCCGTCGCCGCGATAGTGATCTTGAAAGAGTACACATGCAAGGAGTCAACGAACAGGGTGTGTGTCTCGTTAATAGACGGCTTCGCTGTGAAGAAGGTATCACTCCGATCCGCTGTGATGGTGCAGATCACACGCTCCTCGCCGTCCCATCGCATGTCGGCGAGGGNCTTCGCTGTGAAGAAGGTATCACTCCGATCCGCTGTGATGGTGCAGATCACACGCTCCTCGCCGTCCCATCGCATGTCGGCGAGGGAGTCGGCCTTGGGCGCGACGATGCCGCCGACCGCCCACATGAAGTACATCTTGTTGCTCGCCTGGTGTTGTGCGCGGTGCTGGCGCAGCACTACGGCCGCCAACGGGCTCGGGTACTGAAACGGATCCACCGGGCAGTCCTCCTCCGCCTCGTTGATGTAGTCCTCGGAGGAGGGGCGTGTGAAGAAGGCGCTGGCAGTCTTCTCGAGATGCTCCTGCAGCTCTCTCGCAGTTGCTGCCGTGCTGCGGACTGTGTCATCGCGTCCACGCAGCACAGTCTGCACGGCCTCCATCTCGACGCCCTCATCCCCGTCTCCGTCTGTCAATGGGTCATTGCCCGACCCCGCCTCAGCGGCCTCGCGGACCATCTCGAGCTTCTCCGCGGGGGAAAAGATTTTTCCGTCCCACGGCACCGTCACGCTGCAGAGCATCTCCGTGTGGTGCACCTCCACCAGTGGCGCNAAGATTTTTCCGTCCCACGGCACCGTCACGCTGCAGAGCATCTCCGTGTGGTGCACCTCCACCAGTGGCGCCCGCCAGACTCTCACGCAAAACGACAGCTCCTGAAGAGGCCCCTTGCTGACGTACCGCTGAGCTGAGTGAAACCGAAGAAGGTCCATCCTCTTACTCCTATTCAGCAGTAGCAGAACACCTCCCCCCACGTACCTTGGCTAGGCCAGGGACAGAAGAAGATAAGATATGAGGGGAAAATAAGAAAGAGAGAGAGGCATAGATACATATGCACATACGCACACATACATACACATATATATATATATATATATATATA